TTGCCCTCCAAGCCGCCCTCAACGACGCGAGTCCATACTGCCGCCCAGTCCGTGAGATCCCCATGCAAATCGGGATACTCACCCCTCGGCTGAAACTCTGGCGGCATCCTGCCCGTCGCGCCGGGGGCCCGCAGCCCCAGCGAAGTCCTCGGCCTCGGCCCACGAGCGCGCGCGCTAGGAACCAGTTGGCCCCTATCAGCCAGCTCCGATTCTGAAAGCCTCGTAGACCCCGCCGCAGTGCCCGAAGCCGACGACCACCTTGAAACATAACTGCCACCAGTCGCTGCACTTGCCCGCGCCCCCAGGGAATGCGCAACCCAGGCCGCGCGAGGAACCCCATTACCCAAGACAGTATTGGGGAGGGACTGATCGACCCATTCAGGCTTCACTGACAACACATGCGCAGCCGATACAATGGTACCAGATCGATTCCACGACTTCCAGTGCTCCATCCTGCGCATGGTGCACGAAGCTCTTGGCCCACTTCCCTCCACTTGGCTTCGTCGTCATCTGGGATATCGGCTGGTTTGCAAACTTTCGTGATGTCTTTGCGGAGCTGCTCCAAACCCACGCCGTCGGCGCCCCATGCTGGGTCTTGCGCATCTGCTGCAGTAGCCTCTGTGCGTGTTCCTGCACCAGCCGACTGCTTGCAGGCGAAGAACTCTTTGGCCCTGGTCTTGGCCGATCCCGCGAGCTTTCCACTCGACTCCTTACTGGCACCAAGTTTTGACAGAAGAGTGCCCGAAGCTCCAATATCAACTGCAAGTTCGGGAGCGGCGGCCGTCGACGCGCCGCCTTCAGCACCACCCCCTTGTTCGGGCGGGCTTCTCTTCTGCAGCTCGAACAGCTCGGCCTGCAGAGGCCTGATTGGCAGCCTCGTCCAACGCGGTCGTGTCTTTCTCCACCTGCAGCCGCATCTGCTCGAGTTTCTGCGCTGTGGCGTTCCATGTAAGCCCCTTTTGTTTCTGCGCCTGTTGCGCCTGGAAGATACGGCGAGACAGCACCTGCATACCGCTGGCGGCTTACTTTCCTGCAGGGCATTCTGGAGTCGTTATGTTTCTTCACGAGCGGCTCGAATACACGTGCGGATGTACTCTGAGGGAGATGCATGTCCAAGCTTCTCCAGGCCGGCCAGCTCCTGGGAGCCGACAGCCAGGCGCGCGTTGGTACGTTCAGCTTCGTCACCACTGTCCCCCGGCCCACCAACAGTGCCATCATCCACCACCATGGCCGCCCCATTTTGCGCAGCTTTCGCTTTTTAAACCGCGAGCTGCGCTTCCAGGGTGGAGATGCGAGCCTGTGCCCTCGTGAGCTCAGGATTCGGCTAGGGGCCCCGAGGGCCCTCAGCCCACGGAGGTTTTCTCTTCCCCCGAAGGGCGAGCGAGACTGATGGTGCACGGTTGGCCGCACGATTGCGAAGGAAACAAGATTCTTTATGGAGGCGACACCGTCGACAATGTACGTCCGACGCAAAGTTCCACGCAAGCTTCCCGAAATGGTGCGCACAAGATTTGCACACCCAATATTGCTGATACCTCTGCGCCACCCCCCTAACGGCAGACGGGCACCCGGAACAAAGCGTCGATCAGGGCCTGGAGTAATAGTTGGAAAAAAGGGAGCGGGCCGAACGCGGTTCGGTCCACGGAAAGTGTGAGAGCAAGTGGGGCCGCATTTTCCCCTGTCGAAAGCTCCTCGTCCTGAACGAAACACTACGGACTTGCACTAACATGGCTACGGATCCTCCTCCTCCTCCTCCTCCTCCTCCTCCTCCTCCTCCTCCTCCTCCTCCTCCTCCTCCTCCTCCTCCTCTCCTTCCTCCCTCACCCTTCCCGCCTGTCGTGCGGGTCGACGCTACAGGTCACTGAATCAGTCCACTTGGTTCTCGGACGGCCAAATTTGCTGGAGCCTCCTGGAAGCAGATGGGGAAAGTTAGGATGATGCGGGCGGATTCGGGAGGACTCGTGCCTTCCAGCGGCGCTTCTGTGGTTATAAGAATCCCTGAAGAAACTCCACCGAAAACATTTTTTCCCGTGCAACTCACAGGCGCTCCGTATTGTCATGAAGACCCCTTGTGAAATTATATATACAACCGTGGTGCTTTGTTGCACGAGGTTGCTGTGATGCACGCGGGCGCCATGGAGCACACAGGCGCTGCACTGATGATGTGGTGTACACGGCTGATGCGGTGTACGCAGGCGCTGTGGTGCACACCAGCGATGTGGAGCCCGCAGGCACTGTGGCACACACTGGCGCTGTGCTGCACGCGGCGGTTGTGGTGTACAAAGGCGGCGTGGTGTACACAGGCGCTGTGGTGCAGATCGCCATCTACATGCTGCTGCTTCCCGTCCACGGTCATTCCCAGGCATTCCCAGACGCCGCCAGCGCGAAACGTGACGTCATCGGCCCCCTTCCACCCATCGCCCAAGATGATTGCCGCCGTCGGCCCGGATTTTCTTTATTAGCAAAAAACGGCTCCAGCCGCATCCGCACGCACGACGACGATGAACGACGAGCGACGAGCGACGAGTGCCGAGCACGACGACGACGATGACGACGACGACTGCGGATCAGACTCCTATGCGGATTCCTATGCTTACACCTATGCGGATCCCGATGCGCACGGCGGCAGGCCACGACGCCCGTCATGCCCCAAACAATGAAGAAACACTCTCTAAATTGGAACGCTTTTCTTTGCTTTCGGCGATGAGGCGTCATTGGGGGGTGGGGCGGGGGGGAAAGGCTCCAGCGCCACAGCCGCGCCCGCGCGCACGACGACGATGAGCGACGAGCGACGAGCGACGAACGACGATCGACGACGCCGACCCGAACAGCATGTGGGTGGCGATCTGCACCACAGCGCGCGTGTACACCACAGCGCCTGCGTACACCGCAACAGCCGTGTGTAACGCATCGCCTGTGTACACAACATTGCTCGCGTGCACCACAGCGCCAGTGTGCACCACAGCGAATGTGTACACCGCTAAAGCCATGTGCAACACAGCGCCTGGGTACACCACAGTGCTTGCGTGCACCGCAGCGCCTGCGCATACCACAGCATCTGCGTGCAACGCAGCGCTGCAACGCAGCGCCGGTGTACACCACAGCGCCCGCGTGCACACGACAGGTAAAAGGAGCACGTGGGTGAGGATCTGCTGCGGACAGCTAAATGCGACGTGTATCCCTCCTCCCTCCTCCGCCACCTCCACCTCCTCCTCGTCGTCGTCCTCCTCCTCCTCCTCTTCCTCCTCCTTATCCGTCACCCTTCCCGTCTGTCTTGGGGGCTGGCGCTGCAGCGCACGTGCGCATCTCAGCGTGCACCGCAGGATGGTCTATTGAATCAGTCCACTTGGTTCTCGGGCGGCCAAAATTGCTGGAGCATCCTGGAAGCAGATGGGGAAAGTTAGGATGATGCGGGCGGATTCGAGAGGACTCGTGCCTTCCAGCGGCGCTTCTTCGTCCACAAGGGTTTTTTTCAAATAACATATGTTTTCTGTGAAATCCACAGGCGCTCCTTTCTGTCCTAAGGATTCCTTGAGAAATTCTAAATTGTAACATTGGTGCTCTGTTGCACGCGGCTGCTGTGGTGCACACAGGTGCCGTGGTGCACACAGGCGCTGTAGCGCACGCAGGCATTGTGGTGTACACTGGTGCTGTTGCACACGGCTGATGTGGTGTACACCAGCGCTGTGGTGCCCCACGGACTGGCGCTGTGTTGCGCGCGGCTGCTGGGGTGTACATAGGCGGCGTGGTGTACACAGGCGCTGTGGTGCGGACGAGCGACGAGCGACGAGTGACGAGGACGAGGACGACTGCAGACCAGACTCCGATACGGATATCGATGTGGACACCCATGCGGATCCCGATGCGCACGGCGGCAGTGCCCGGAGCGCACTGGGGGGGGAGCGTTACGTCATAGGGGGGGGGCGGGGGTCATGACGCCCGTCATGCCCCAAACAATTACCCCAGTGCGACCCTACCTAGAAGTTGGAGCCCCTAGGGAAGCAGCGTTAGTTGCTATGCTATGCTATGTCATGCTATGCTGCGCTATGCTATGCTATGCTAAGCTATGCTATGCTATGTTATGCTAAGCTGCGCTATGGTATGCTATGCTCTGCTATGCTATGCTATGCTATGCTATGTCATGCTGCGTTGCGCTAAGCTATGCTATGTTATGCTATGCTATGCTAAGCTGCGCTATGCTATGCTATGCTGGGCTTTGCTATGATATGCTGTGGTGCGCCATGCTATGCTACGCTCTGCTATGTTATGCTGTGCTCTGCTATGCTAAAGCTCAGCGAAGCTAAGATGAAGGTAAGCTAAGCTAAGATAAACCTGAGCTAAGATGAAGCTAAGCTAAGCTACGGTGAAATAAGCTAAGCTAAGATGAGATAAGCAACGCTAAGCTAAGGGAACGTCACTGGGGGAACCGCGGGGCGGATCCTGGGGGAACCGCCCGGGGGCGGGGAGCACTGCCTGGCCCTTTAAGCATACAGGCAGAACCCTTCTAGGCAGAGCCTAGGTAGGGAATAATGAAACACTTTCTTGCGGGTGGGTGGGTGGGATGGTGGCGCGAGCAATGGAATTGAAACCTTCAGTATCGGCAAAGTGAACTCTCCTCTCTAGGAATATAACGACTCCCCTTTTCGAATTGCAAGTTACACATGATTCTGCCCCCATCGCCCAGCCAAGATACGAATTCATTCCATCCCAAGCAAGCCCGTATCGGCAGCAACAACAACAACCACAACAATCACAACAACAATCACAACAACAACAGCAACAACAACAGCAACAACATCAACAAACAAGTGTCGTCTTACGACCAGAACTACGAAGCGGATTTGACTTTCATGCGTTTCTCCCACTCCATCGCGCCCGCTCTCGATATCTCTGAAGGCACCCCATGTTGGGGGAGGGGGGCGTCCATTCCAGCTCTGGGGTAAACCTGGAGGGTGAAAAAACGGGCGCGTCGCACGGCCGCACCCTCACGGGCGGAGCGCGATTCCTGAGTAAATCGCATCAGCCGCTTCACAAGGACCGCCTTCGTGCCCGAAACCGCAAGCCCCTCCGCCTGGCACATCGCCTTCAGCTGCGCGGCCGTCATGGCCATCACCTCGCCGTCCGACTGCCTCGCCCTTGCGGGCGCGCTCGCCACCGGCGCCGCCACCGAGGCCGCCTCCTCGGGCGGGAGTCTTGGGTGGGAGCGGGGGTCCTCAATACATTGCGAGGAGGTCTCAGGCGAAAGCCGTTAAGTACTCACTTCTAAAGAAAAATTCTTGCTGGTCTCCGGAAACGCTTCCGCGCGATCTCGCCTCGACGCAGGCTGCAATTCCTGTGAAAACGAAGCTCCCGCTCGAGCGCCGGCTTGATTTTAAATGTGTGCCCTTGGAGGCCTTGCTATGACGACGATGGCTCCCGCTCGATATTTCCTTACAATTTACCCCGAGAAGCCCTGGCCAGAGAGGCCCCCGAACTCAGGAACGGCGCTCTCGTTCGAGACTTCCTCACAATTCAAACAAGTTGGCGGGGACCCAACTACGACGACAAGGGCTCCCGCTCGATGCCTCCTCACTATTAACCCCGAGAGGCCCTGGCCAGAGAGGCCCCCGAGCTTAAGAACGGCGGTTTCGCTCACGCTTTCTTCGTCATTCCGGCAAGCTGGTGGAGGCCCAGCAACAACGACAAGGGCTCCACCTCGATGCTTCCTCACGATCTACTCCGAGAGGCCCTGCCAGAGAGGCCCCCGAACTCAAGAACAGCGGTTTCGCTCACGACTGCTTCGTCATTCAGGCAAGCTGGTGGAGGCCCAGCTACGATGACAAGGTCTCCCGCGCGATGCTTCCTCACGATTTACTCCGAGAGGCCCTGTCTAGAAAGGCCCCGAACTCAGGAACGGCGCTCTCGCTCGAGAGTTCCTCGCACTACAGTCAGTGGCTGACAAGGAAGATATTCCCTCCAGAAGGGGGTGCGATCGAAGGCGAAGTGGGCGGGTGTCGAGGGATGGGGTATAGAAAATGAAAGACACGCGGGCAAGTAAGAGCGAACAGTCTTAAAATGATGAATATTGCTAATTATTGCTGCTGCTGTTGTTGCTCGTGGGCAGTGCCCAACATTTGGAAGGAAGCCAGCGCTCGAGCGTGAGCCTCGCTTCCAAAGAAGATGTGGCCCACGCGCGAGCGAGAGCGCTCGCCAAGGACTGCCCTCTCTGGAGCCGAGAACTTCACAACGCGCAACAAAGACAACAAAGACACCTGACCCGGGAAACGGAAGCTTACCCTCGCACCCAGGGGCCGCTCCATCGTCGGAAATCTAGGCCTTCGTGGGCCGTTGTTTCACCGTTTCCCCAAACAATTGTCCCTTGAAAATGGAAACGGCAAAAAAACGGCGACCGGAAACGGCAAAAAAACGGCTCCAGGATTGGAGCCGGAGCCGGAACCGGTCAAACAACGGCGACGGAACCGGTAACAACAACGGCGTCGGAACCGGCAAGAAAACGGCAAAACGGAACCCGTAACAAAAACGGCCCTGCCGTTTCCAGGGCCCACTATAGCCCAGGGACCGCTCCATCGTCGGAGGTCTGGGCAATGCGCTGTTCCGGCCTCCGATTCTTCGAGACCGCCCTCCGCGGCGGGCGGCTGCGGCCGGGCGGGCGCGGCCTGCGGCGGCGGGGCGCGAGGCGTCGGCGCGGGGGTGCGCTGCCGCCTCGGCGGGCTCTGGCCACCGCCCGCGGGCATCGGCAGCGGCGGCATCGGCGGGCCGCGCCTGGGGGAGAGGAGGGTCATGTTGCATGCTCGGGGGACCTTGTCTGTCCCGTCGCTGTCCTATCCGCGTCGAATCCGTGTCGAATCCATGTCGGACTCGTCGGATCCGTGTCGAATCCGCGTCGAATCCATGCCAAGTCCGCGTCGAGTCCGCATCAAGCATGCGTCGGACACAAGAAAAGACACAAATCTTGGGGACAGGCGAGGTCCCCCGAAGATGCAACGTAAGGAGGGGGGAGGTGGTTCGACGGCGCGCCGAGGGGTCAGGAGGCAACTCCTGGGAGGTCCTCGTCAGAGCGACTAGGGGCCATCAAGCCCGATGAAGCTGTCATTGGGCCGGATTGCGCGGGACTGGGCCTGGGATTAAACAGGGTAAAGCGGGACCTATAACGGGGTTAAACTGGATTCGGTAGGATTGTGCTGGATCGCGCCGGCTTCCAACCGCCGATTAACCAGCTCCGATGCTGAATTAAACCTCCCAGGAGTTGCACCGTAAGGCGGTGGTTCGGCGGTGCGCCAAGGAAGTGAAAGGAGACAGGCCTTCTCAGAAGGCGGCGGCGCTCCTCAGAAGCCTGCGGGCCTTCTGGGAAGCCTTCTGCGGCTTCGGAGAAGGCTTATGTACAACCTGTCTTGAAGGCCAGAAGCCTTCGGAACCTTCCGCCGAGCCCGCGAGCATCCGCTTTGGCGGACCCCGCCTGGGGGAGGGAGGGGAAGACGAGGTGGTCGAGGGGGAGGAGGAGGAGGACGAGGAAAAGAAGAGGAGGAGGAAGAGGAGGGGGAGGAAAAGAAGAGGAGGAGGAGGAGGAGGAGGAGGAGGAGGAGGAGGAGGCGGGGGAGGAGGCGGGGGCGGAGGCGGAGGAGGCGGAGGCGGAGGACGAGGCGGAGGGTGGTGGAGGGGTAAGAACCCTGATCTCCGACGATCTGACTCTTGTCCATCGCGGCGCTGCCCCCCGAGGTCGGCCCCCCGGGCCCGTCCTCGGGCCCCAGTGCCGCCAGGAACGAGCCGGGGGCGGAGAAACTGTCCCTGGGGGAAGCGGTCGGGGCCGCGGAGCGAAAAAATCACGTCAGCGGGCGTCATGGAGAGGAGGGAGAGGAGGGGGAGGAGGGGAGGGAGGGGGAGGAGGAGGAGGGAGGAGGAGGAGCGCACGTCCCACGAGAGTGCCGTCAACTTACTGTCGAACGAGTGCCGCGTGTCGTATTGACACGTGGTGAGCATAATTGCCGGGCTTCGAAGGGGTTACGTCAAGCACGGCACGGACCTTATGGAATATAGAGTACGCTAACATGACAAGCTCGTGGGCACTCTCGATCGTGAGATCGGTGCCTGCATATCCCTCCTCCGTCCCGAGGCCGAGCCACAGGAAGGGGGGGACGGTAGGATTGTGTAAGCGAGGCAACGCAATTATGTGAAGCACGCGGGGGCAGGAAAGGTAGTGGAGGAACGAGTCAGTGGTAGCTAAACCTGCAGGGCAGCGGCGTGAGGATCTTCACACGTCGGTCGGAAGAAATATGTAAAAAAAATGAAGTAGGAAGGCGGATTAAGTTGATTGGGTCCAGGCCCCCCCAGGGAATAACAAAACACAGCAAAACCGTGCCGATTCTTGAAGTAGGAAGGCGCTTGAAATAGATTGGGATCTGGGAAACCAATACCTACTTTCAACGACTGGGGTGTACCCTGTGGCTTGTGATCCACCCTCCCGCGAAGGTTTTAAGGTGAGACCACACGTTCCACGGCCGAGAGCGTGACAGGACTTGACGCAGTGAGTGCCACCTCGCCAGCACAGCGGCGAGAGACAACGGTTCGGGAGGGAACCACGTCTTAAGCCTCCGATGTGTCATCTCATGCAGTCTATCTGGGAATCCCGAGCGCATTAGCTGGGCGATGAAAAAGCCTTGAAGTCCCTGCCCCCCGCTCCAACGACGCTGACGACCGCACCCCCGCCCATCCCTTTTGCTGGCGCCGCCAATAAGCCGCCGACCGGCCGAGCCACCAACAACAGCATCGATAGCTGCCTGAATTCGAGCCGCCGGAAACGGGAGGCCGCGGCATCCTCGGGTGAATTACCGACAGTATTGTAGCACGCCGCGCTCCAGTAGCCAGCATGGTGCCGAGAGGAGGCCTCTGCGCACACGCATGTCCAGGCCGTGAACGTCCGCCCCGTCCAACCACCACTCAAAATCCCGCTCCCAATGTTTCAAATAGTGAGTCGACGCCCGCCAGGCACAACCGAGAGAGTACACTTGTACACTCGTGGGTGATGCCGATCGCAACCAATTGCGCGTTCCGAAAAAGCCGTGCAATGAGAACGTGCTGGGAGGGAGGCGAAGGAGTTCGTGGAGGGAAAAAACTCCTTGCGTGCGATTGCTTGGCACAGCGGCAAAATTGAGCAGGGTAACCAAGGACTGACAAGCATGTCGCCTCGTACAGTCGTACGGCAGCTTCATGGGGCGCGATGGCACGGGCAATCGCACGAATCCCGGACCACCATCTCTCTCCAGCGTCGCGCCCGATTGCGCGCAGGCGGACCCCCGGGCCCATTTAGCACCCCAAGATACCTGGCCCACGAGCGCACGCAAAAACGAAGCCCACGCGAGGAAAAGCTGAGAGATGAGCTGGGAGATTCGAGCAACCTCCACAATCGCGCATGCGGCTGCCAACGGAACTGCTCCGCACCTGGTGGGCTGAAGTACAAGGCCCGCCAAAAGCTCGGCGAGCACGAAGGTAGCATATAGGAGGGGCAGGGGGCGAATGTGATTCAAGACGACTCCTATATCAGCCGCGCAGGCGCCCAGAGTGGCTGTGTCTTTATTGGGGGACAGGGGCGACGAGGTGGCGGAGGAAAGGATCGAACCCAAGAGCCCAGAGAGACCCAGAGAGGGGACAGCCCTGGGGAACGCCGGCGGTTATGGTAACATAGGAACGACCTCTGAACCCACTAGCACGTGTGCAACGGCGTCGGAGCCTAGAGCAAACAAGATCCACAGGATACTCTGTGGAAGGCGCGACCTTTCCAGCACCATTCTCAACCAGGTCTGGCTCATGCTGGGAAAGGCAGCGCGCACGTCAAAGCTCAGGAAGAGGGGGTCCATTTCAGCATCTACGACGCTCGCTCGCCTAGCAGCCGAATCCATGCTAAGAATGATGTACGCCAAGTTTCCGCCCATTAATGAAACCTTGCTGGACTATGTGGGTCCGTTGAGTAGCGCCATGTTGACACCGCTGGTTGACCACAGACACGAGGAGCTTGCTGTCCGAATTCTTCAATGTTTCAGCGTGAGGGATCGGAGAGCCTCCGGCTCTCGCACGCAGTCTGCAGTGTCCCCAGGATCCTCGCCCTTAGGGATGAACGCGAACAAGCTATGATTCAGACCAGCTGGAGCGGGGTTGCCGCCCATGAGAAAGAGGAGAAGGCGATAGATGACAGAGAGGCATTTGGGATGGAACTTCCACGCAGCGTGCTTGAGACGATCTGGTCCTGGAGCCGAACCCCGCGCTCGGCTCAGGCATTGCGCCAGCTCATTCTCAGAGGGGGTGTGGAAATCAAAACTGTGGAGGTCGGCGATGGTACGGTCCGAAAAATATGCGATTTCGGCCTCAGGGCGGGGACGCTCTATGAAAACGGGCTGTCAGAACTGCTTCAAAGCGTCAGCCATGGACACATGATCTCGTACGATGTCGCCCTGGTGGCCATCGCTCGGCGGGTTTGATGGGCCACCTTCTTGGGGCAATGGGTGGCCGCGCGAGGTGGAGGAGGAGGAGGAGGAGGAGGAGGAGGCGGAGAAGGAGGAGGAGGAAGAGGAGGAGGAGGAGGGGGAGGGGGAGGGGGAGGAGGAGGCGGAGGGGGGGAGAAGGTTCTGCTACATCTCAGGGGGACCTTGTCAATCCCATCGCGCCGCGCCTCGTGCCGAATCTGCGTCGAAGCCACGAGTCCACATCTGGTCCGCGTCGAGCCCACGTCGAATCCAGGACGAGCCCGCGTCGAACAGAAGTCGAGCACCGGCAAAATGGCGCCACTGACAGGACAGACGAGGCACCCGGAAGCTGCAACGCACATGAGGTGGTGCAATGGCAAGGAGGAACAGGGAGTCTGGAGGAGTCCGGGGAGTCTGGAGGAGGAGGACAAGGAGAGGACGAGGAGTCTGGGGAGTCTGGAGGGAGTCTGGAGGGAGTCTGGAGGGAGTCTGGGGGGAGTCTGGAGGGAGTCTGGAGGAGGAGTCTGAAGAGGACGAGGAGGAGTCTGGAGGAGTCTGGGTGGCCTCTCGCGCGCGCCCACGTGGGAGGGAACGAGGTCCAGGGCCCAGGGGGGAGGAGGAGGGAGGAAACGAGGGAGGAGGATGGGCTCCTCCTCCTCCTCCTCCTCCTCCTCCTCCTCCTCTTCCTCCTCCTCGTCCTCCATCCCCTTCGCCCCTCCGACTTATGGTGGTGGTGGGAAACAGGCCCATCAGAGGAGGCAGGCGGGGGATGGGGGAGGGGAGGGGGCGAGGGGAAGGAGCCTCGTCAGGCCTCCTCGGAGGTCCCGGGGCGTCTCCGAGAGGGCCGGGCAAGGGGCAAGGGGCAGGCAGCCTTCCGACGCCGTGGCGCCTGCACTCTGTGGCCGCCAGAGCCTCCTAACCCCTACCCCTGGACGGCATTTCCTGATGGGTAGCCAGCAGCCTGAGGGCCTCTTCTTCGGGAATCCACCGCGAGCTCTTCGGAACAGGCACGGCGAGCGACACGAGCGATTCGATAGAATCACGCACAAAACTCCCTCATCCTGCTCATCTGGCCAGGACTTACAACCTGGAGGCAAACGACACGCGGCGAAGGCCTTGATGACGCGAGCGGCAGAGGGCCTCCTCCTCCTCCTCCTCCTCCTCCGCCTCAAAGAGCCCCTTCAACGCGACACGGGGGCGACGAGCTCCACTGACTTTTGGCGACCGCCGAATGTCTAGTGCACAGTATGGTACTAGTCCGCCCCTGGACTGGTTGGTTCATCCTGGGTCGGTGCTCGATGGCTCCGTGGCCCAGGCCCAGGACCGAAACAATTTCCAGGGACGGAGGTCTGGGGAATACGAGGATGCGAGGCGGGGGGGGTTCATTCAGAACCACCGCCTTGGGGATCGACCTTCGTGGACCTCGGCAGGCGGTGGATACCAAAATCTGTGGCCCAACCCCGGGCCCGAATACATCCATATCCACTGCATGCCGAGGTCCACGAGGATCGATTCCCCCGGCGGTAGTGATCAGATGCTCGGTCTGGGGACCTTCCTGGAGCCCCTCGCTCCGCTCGTGCGTCGATGCTGCGTCGAACGTCCGCCGACTGGAATCGACCTTGAGCCGAACTTGCGTCCATCCAGAGTCGAACCAGAGCCGAACCAGAGTCGAACAGATCGGTCAGGTGGCCCCCAGGAAGGTCCCCTGTGCGAACATCTGATGGTGATGGACAAACCCCCGCCTCGGAGAGAGAATGCGGGAGGAGGAGCCTCGCGAGCCGCGGAGCCACCAAGTCGGACAGGCCGTCGTACGACAAGGCAACCTCCGCACCGGGGTCGGCGGGCCGCCCTGGCCCTCACATCCCAGGCGACGCCAGCAGAGGAGAGCAAGCAAAGACACAAAACATCGACGCGGAGGTCCCCGTGTGTGCATGCCATGTTTCGGTACCTTCTTCTGTGAGTGCCCGAGGGCGGGCACAAGCCGAACCGCGAGTGACCCGCGTCTGCTGCATCGCGGTGATCATGAAGCTCTGAAAAGAACTGCGCTCAGAGCCGCAAACGGCCATCCTACTCGACAAGTCCCACGAGTATGAGCGCGAACGGGTCCATGTCAAATCCACCGGCGGATCCCCCTTGTTGGAAGCCCAGACATTTGTTGGGGCGAGGAGGGGGAGGATGAATAGTAAGAGGAGGAGGATGATGAGGATGGAGCGCGACCACAAACTGCACACTGTGCTCGGCCTCAACCGCTGTGCGAATCTTCTTGGGAGGCCAGAATGCCATGTCTACTTCATCGCGGTGATGACTAGGCTCTGAGAAGAAACGCACCCAGAGCCACGCGCGGACATTACACTTGAGAAGTTCCCCAAAAATGGGCGCAAGCGGCCCCATGTCATGCCCTCTGGCGGCTTCCCCTTTGGGGTGCACAGGTGCGATGATCACGGGACTCTGCTGCATCTCGGTGATCACGGGGCTCTGAAAAGAGATGCGTCTACAGCGGCGAACGGACGCGTCGATAGAGGCATTCACACAATGTAGCGCACACGGTTGAGTGCAATGCCTCCTGGCGGCTCCCCCTTGGGTGGTCCAGGTGCCATGCCTGCTACATCGCGGTGAACGTCAGGCCCTGAACGGGTACCTAACATTATCACTGCTAAATCATGGTGATCATGGGCATGACTGACGCAATGTATGCGGGAGCGTGCGGAAACGTGTGCATGTGAACATCCAAGAGTGATTGACTATGAGTATGAGTGAGTCTGAGTGTGAGCAAATGTGAGCGTGAACCTGCATGAGTGAGTGCGTCTAGGTCTGATTGAGTCCAGAGAGGAATTCAGTCTGAGTGCGATAGAGCCTGGGTGTGGGTTTGTCGGAGTAGGGATGAGTCGGGGTCTGAGTGGACCTGGATATGAATGAATCTGGGTATGGTTGAGTCTGAGTAGGAGTGGATCTGCATATGCGTGGATCTGGGCATCAGCGGGTTGAATATGAGTGAACTTAGGATGAGTTCCTGAGTGCGGGGGAGTCCGACTACGCATGAGTCTGGGCGAGGAGGGTCGAGGACGGACGTCTCTGCTCCGTTTCGAGCCCTGGGGCCATCACAGATCGATCTGGCTCGAGGAATTCAGCATGAAGATGAAGTCGAGGGCTTTCGTCGTGCTTCGTTCGCGGCGTCTGACCTGGTGGTTGGGCTTATGGCCAAGGGGCCGGGGGAAAAGACAACCAGACGCTCCAGAAGACAATTGAGCTCTTACCAGGTGAGACCAACATGGTCCTCTAATCTGACTTTGATTGGTCACTGAAGTTCGTATGGGCCTCTCGAAGGTCCGTTTGGCTGCTCCTGCGCCCCGCCCCCGCCCTCAGGTCGGCCAGGTGGCCACAGCCTGGGCCGCCTCGACGTCAACACTCAGCACCCTCAGGCCCTTCAGCTCTTCGTTGGGCTCGAGCATGAAAGCCTCCTCCGTGGGCGCTGCGAGGAAAGCGAGCTGCTCGCACCCTATGTTGACCAAGACACCTGTGCTGATCTTCATGGCGACGTAGCCGTCGACCACCTGACCCTTCTGGAAGTCCTCGATCAACTTCAGCCTCGGCAGCCCAGCGACGGACACGAGGATGTACTTGGGTCTTATCCTCTCGACGGTCGCACGGACAACCGTGCCAAACTGCAGCTTCTCGAAGGCCTTGGACCGGGGTGCCAAGACGCGAGCCTGCCTTGTCAGGGTGCCGATGTCGAGGAAGACGCCGTCCTTCGTCCTGTTGACAACTATGCCCTCCAGCTGCTCGCCCTCCCTCAAATCCTTCATCAGCCTCAGCTTGGGCAGTCCGGCGACGGACACCCAGAGCGCTTTGCTGTCTGGTATCTCCGGAGGAGGAGGAGGAGGAGGGAGGATGGATGGAGGCAAGAAGAGAGAGGAGGGAGGAGGGAGGGAGAAGAGGGAGGAGCAGGATGGAAAAGGCGGCGATCTTCGGACCTCGATCTCCCTCCCCATCCCCGTTGCTCGATCCCCGAGACGGTTGCGCCGAAATGAAGACAGTGTCGGCAGGAACGGTAAGGGGGGGGGGGCTGGGCTGTGACAAAGGAGGAGCGGGAGGAATTTTTTGACATCAACGCCTCGCCTCCAAAACCTTGGACTGACCAAGGAAACGTGCCAGCAACGGAGGGGGATGCTGGCACCGTGACCGAGGTAAACACCAGGGTCACCGCGCAAAGAAAATGGCACGACGAGAGGACGAAAACCTCTGCGTCCAAGTGCCCAAGCGCTTCGCACACCTGCCACAACATCTCTACGAGATGGGGCAGGCGCGCTGTGCCAGAGGGCACAGAGCTACAGCGCAAAAAACATCCAACTGCAGAGAATTGCAGCTGGAAAGCTCCCCCCCGCCGACTGCCCTCGGCTGAACAAGAGGGACAGCGAGCAAGACAGAGCTCCACCCACACGCCAGTGGCAAAAGGCTGCGGGGGGGCAAGGCGGAGGGGCATGCAACGAACGCGCACACGAATACGCGCGCCCAACGCCTGCCAAAAGGATGTTGGGGCCAGGAACCAAAGTCCCAGGCCGCAGCAACATCGGGCGAGCCACAGTCGGGATGAATAATCCCCGTGCTCGGAATACGCAGAGCGCACCCTAGGTGTGCATGCACCTTCCCCCAAAATTGGGGTGCCTGACGCGCGTGCACGAAGGACGCACGCACAACGAATACAAAAAGCATGCAAAGGAGAAGATTCGACCACCCACACAAGGACGGCGAGCCCGCAGCCCCTGGTGCAGCCAGCGCCAGAACGACATGCGGTCACGCCCCAGATGTGGGGTAAAGCACGGATGCCTGCCAAAAGGGCCAGCCGCATCGGGCCGTGCAAGAAAACACAAGACGGCGAACCCTCGCCACTGGGAAAACTCGACCACCCACACAAGGGCGACGAGGACCGAAGCCCCTGGTGCAGAGAGCGCCAGGACGACCTCAGTCTCGCCCCAGATGTGGGGTTACGCACGGACGCCTGCCAAAAGGGTCAGTCGCATCGGGCCGTGCAAGGAAGTAAGATAGGCCGCCCTGTGCCACAGCAAATCAATCAGAACTATCCGACTCATCCTGGCGGCGTCTCGCCAGGAAAGAAGGGGTGCGTTGTCGCGACGGTTGGGGTTCCTGCCGCACCTCATGCGCAGGTACCTCGGAAGTACCTTCAGCAAGGGCGGCAAGTGCGGCCTCAGAGCTGAAACACTGAATCAGGCCTTCCGTGTCCACCGTGACGCCAGCAACACGCAACTGATACCTAGGGTGGAGGCCCTTGCACAGATAATCCCAACCCTGCTTGCACGCACGCGAAGGGACCGAAACACAATGTTTGCTGAGTCCACGAATGCGCCCGCCACACGTGAGGCATTTACATCTAAGACAAATAAAGAGAACAGAGTTATCAGAACACGGAAAGGCCACAGTCCGATGGCCTAGCGCGTCCTGAGAGTCAGCGTGGACAAGAGAGGACCTAGAGCAGGAACCTGGAGCTGGCTTCGGAAAGGAACGGTTCCCCCTCAAACAGTGAGCGCACCTCCAAGTTCCGCCCCGCGACCTCCAGTCGTGCCCAAGCACCTCCTTCCTCGGGTTTCGAACCACGGGGAGTCTGTTGGCCCCATCGAGGTCCACAGGAGGCCATTAAAGGGAGCACACGCACAGCAACCTTTAAGGTGGCCCTCGCTAGGGCCACCAGGTGGTCGGCCTCCTGCAGAAGAGTGCCATCCGTGGGATGGAGGCGGACAGCAAACTTAGCCCCTACATCCGCATGGTAGTTGCCGAGGCGGCGCCAACGCTCCTCGGCAGAAATCCCTGGAGCATCCACGTCAAGGTGGGCGGCCACCTTGGAGCAGGCAGCTATCCCCGAGACCTGTCCGTGCACCTGAAGAAACGCCCCAGCATACATGCGCTTAGGCGAGAGCTGAATCTGCTTAGCAAGACCCGCAGTCTGGACCACATTGCTGCAATCAGAATACACATGGCATTCAGCAGGATGGGTCGCCAGAACATTGGCCCACGTGAGCGCACTGAATTCAGCACTCTGGGGGGTCTGAGGGTAGGGGCCCCAAACAGGGGCCCTCAGCTCAGCCACAAGATCCCCCGACTCGTCGACCATGCAGACTGAGGAGCCAGCACGAGAGAGCTCCTTGACAGCGTGACGGGTACACGAGCCATCAACAAATAAGGAGCCCCACACTCTGTTGCTGACGGGGGCACCTCCAGGGTCAAAATCGGGCATCTTGTGCCAGACCAGGGTCGGACCATCACCTTGCTCATCAGCAGTCCTAGGGAAGGAGTCGGCGGGGTGCCGAAAGGCTCCAGATATAAAGACCAACAGCTCATCATCATCTCCAGACGCCTTAGCAGACAGAGCGGCCTCAATCACCTCACTGTCAGTAGCCTCAAGCCGGGCTGAAACAGCCTCGGGGAGAGGGCATTCCCAAAGCCGATGGAAGATGGTATCGTTGGCCCCGCAGTGGACACAACGCGGATCAATGTCGTACCCAAGGGCCCTGGCTCGAGCCCGAGTCAAAATGGCCTCCGTAGAGAAGGCTCTGATCCTGGCCTTCTGAAGGGCCGTGAAACGCTTACTGCGGGGCGCGATAGCCTCCTTGACAACGTCATAACAAAGACGGTAAGATATGCCCCTCCTGGCAGCAGCATCTCTTTCCAAAACTCTCAGAAAACCCGCGCGGACCAGGGGCCCGACAAGAGCGGGCGAGAAGATCCCAAGGGGGATAAATTTCCCGAAATCGTCGACCAGGGTCATGAAGTTAGGCATACTCCACCCTAATCTGACCAGAGACATCCTCATGGCAGCGATTCGTCCCGCAACCTTCCTCCAGCTACAGCTGGGGTCAGAAAAGATGGCGGCCCAGGCAGACTTCAAAGTGGGCAGAAGGATAGCCCAGCTGAAAGCGCCTGTCTGTCTTAGCCAGATCTCCTTACTCCATCTAAGAATGGGAGCGGTGGCCGGCCGCCATGTCGGGTCATTGTCCAGCAGGGCGAGGACCGTGAGGGACCTCAGCCGACTGTGCGGGCGCACAACACTAAAAAGGCGTCGGCGCAGCAAGCTAAGGTCATGATCGCTTATGCCCGTGACTTCGGTACCGTATGAGGCTCCCACCAGGGGGCCAGCAGAGAAAACCTTCAAGGACGTAGACCGAGTAAGTACCTTAGCCTGCCGCACTAGGCGCCGCGCAGCTCTGCCCGCCCTAGCGAGCCTGGCCTTCATCTTGGCCGATCGTCCAGCAACTCTAACAACGCGGCCTGCCGAGTAGTCAACTCCGAGGTTGACGGCTGAGCCTGTACAACGCTGGCAAAGATGGCTGATACGAGAGAGGACTTGTGAACCCACACATTTGGAGCTGGACACAATAGCCGTTTTCTCCAGAGCGAAGGAACACCCGAAAACCTCCCGGACGACAGAGTCGAGCGCCATGGCCCCACGAACGATCGAGTCGATGACGACTTTCGGGGGGCCAGTCGACGACAGCCCTGGATCGTCAATGTAAACGTCCAGCGAAGCGGCAGGGGGCAGGGGAATGCTATCATACCCTTCCATGCAATAAACTCGGATAAGGGTGGTGGCCATCCTGCAGCCAGCGATGACCCCATTGACACAAAAGTGCGGGCCCTCGAGCCAACCACCCAGGCTCAGAAAGCGGCCAACCTTGTAGGCAAAGATGCAAAGGCGGGCAATCACCATGGGAAAGCCCAACCTGCGACAACGGTCCTCTAAACGCAAGAGGTTAATGTTCTCATAGAATTTAGAGAGATCGAAAAAGATACTGCAACTGGCGAAGCCCCTTCGCAACTCCCGCCTCGGCAGACACGGCCTGGCGCCACGCCACGTCGGCTGCTCCCCGATGCTGGCCAGCAGCCCAGTACTCTCGGGGGTGGGCCAGCTCCCAGGCCAGGGCCAAGGGACGTCTGCAGCGCCCCCACACCCTGTACCAGGAGCAGAACACCCCGATGGGCCTGTAGCCGCCAGTCGGCTTCGGCAACAGCGCCAAGAAAGCAACAGAGATCTGAGGGGGCAAGACGCCTAAAGCCTCCATGAGGCTGAAAAGAGCTCCAAGGCAGTCAAGGCAGGGGTCGGAAAGGGGCGAGAAGTGTCTGCAATGGAACCCATCAACCGAGGTGGCCGAAGCAGTCCTATAAGACTTGGAGACGTCCCTGATTTGCTGAGCACCCAACCTGGGGAGGTCATCCAGCCTCTCAAAGGCCGAGTCCGCACCGACCCCAGGGCCCCATAAGGAAGCAAAACGGTCCCCTTCAGCTTTCAGCAACGAAAGAGGGTCCGAAACCACGTTACCATCCGCCGAAAGGGTCGAACTGGCAGCCCGCGGGGCGGGGCCCCAAAGAAGGGCGTGCACTCTTTTCGCTCCCGCTTGCACTCCGACGAGGAGCGGGAGGGAGAGGAGCGGCGCGGCGGAGGAATACGAAAGCCTCAATCCACAGGAGGGATCGGGCGAGTGGTAATGGAGGCCGGAAGGTGCCCTTCAGGGCTCCTTTTGGAGACAGCGCGGGCCAAGGGGTCCTAAAGGGCCCCTTGCGCGACCTTTTCTCACCCCCCCCCCCCCCCCCCCCCCCATTTGAGTCACCCCAAATTGCCACCCGCGAACATGCCCGTAGAGTTCCCCAAGGTGCCCAGAGGTCTCCAGGAACCCCTGGGCGTCTTCGGGGCCCAGAAAAAAAAAGCACCAAGTAACCCAAGCACATGTACCCTCGTTGTGTTCCTCCTGATCTGCACCCCCCCCCCTGCTGCGTCCACTTCGACCACCAAGCCTCCAAACAACAATACGGGCACGCGTCGTACACATATCCAACGGTGCGCTGACAATTGCTT